TAGCAAGAACGTGGCCAGAAAAAAAAAAAAAAAAGATTTGCCATAGGGCATGTGCACTCGCCAGAGAAAGAAGGTGAGAAGGAGTCTCCCCCCCGAGGGATAGCAATTCCACAATCCCTTCTCCATTCTCCTCTCAGGATTTTGGGCACACACACACACCTGGTATATTTCTCAAGTCACTGGGTCTGGGACTTGAACAGTGCACTTAGCCATGTAGGATCGAGCACCTTAACCAACACACCACTGCTGGCCTCCTTAATTCTTTTTATTTAATTTACTTTTGTTTTAAAATACACTAGAAGGCATGGGTGCTCACTATAGGAAGAGACACAGAGTGAGAACACACCCTCAGAGGGGATAACCATGCTGCAATCCCTTCTTTTCCATTTGTCCCCGCTCTTGGGATTCGGGGCACACACATACACCCACGTGGCGTGTTTATCCAGCCATTGGGTCCAGTACTCTAACCCTGCGCTTGGCTGTATGGGATCCAGTCACCTTAACTGCCACCCCACTGGCTGGTCCGCAAACACCTGATCCTAATGTTGGTTCTGAGAGCAATTGGTAGTCATTGGAGGCTTGCCATCAATGAGCTGGTATCATTATATATAATTATTCTATATGAATTTTAGAGTGAGTTGCAAGAAGAACATGGAGGCCGATAAGGCGTTTATTATTACGTTGTCTGAGATGGATGCAGGGCACATGCACTCTCCACACAGAGAGAAAGGGAAGGTGAGGAAGCAACCCTCCCCACAGGGGAATGGCCATGCCTCAAACCCTTCTCCTCCATAGAGAAAATGAAGCAAAACAAAAAACAAGGTAGAACTGAATTAGGTAGTGATGACAGACATGCAGAAGGCTATAGACATTCAAGCGGTAGAATTGGTAGAATCGTTAAGGTTTACGACCTTAACAGTTAGTGCTGGGAGGCAGGAAGTAAGAGTCTAAGGAGCTGCCCAGATTTCTGGTTTGAGTGTCTGAGCTTTAGCTTCCTTAGCTGGAACAGTGAAGAACAGACTGGAACCCAGAACCGGTGTCATGGGCAGTGGGGCACCACTACGCAATACTGGAGCCCTGTGGGAGGCTCTGGGTTCGAAGCCCAGGTCCACCAAACCACCAGGCACTCCCACACACGATTCTGGCTGGCCAGAAGGCAGGCTTGGGAATGAAGTCGTGGCCTTACCCCATGGTGAGACCCTGTCACGGGTAGTTATCTTTCTATCTCTCTCCTTCCTGCCTTCCTCTCTCTCACTAAATAAATAAATAAGGTAAAAAAGTAAACAAATAGCAGATTAAGAGAGGCAGGCTATGACTAGGAGTTCTCATAAAACTTGATAATAGCATGTGACGAAATATTGGTACACCCAGTAAGTTGCACACCTATCTTTTATGTATGTTTTCTTTATTCATAATAGAATGTGTGTGCACACATGTGAGAGAAAGACAGAGAGAGGTGAGGACCCTCCACAGGGTCTGATCATGCTGCAATACCCTTCCTCCAGTCCTCCCACCCATCAGATCGTGAGCGTTCACTCACACGTGCCAGAGGGTTTCCAGCTAACAAGGCTGGGGATCCGACCCACGGTTGCCATGTGGAATCCAGCTTCTCTTGAGCAGTGCATTACCACTGCACCACAGAGCCAGCTCTAAGTTCTTCATAAGAGAAGAATAAGCATTAGCGACACAGCGAGGGCACCATACATTGGTACAGACACTGTGGGGGGCAACTTCGCAGAATCTAGCCCTTTAGACCCATCAATTCCAGTTTTCAGAACTGACATCAGAAAATACACATGCACTGGGGAGAATGTATAAGGATGCAGACTACAGCATTTTTTTGTGATCTGAAAAGTTCAGACTACTGGACAAGCTCCATGGCCACATGGTTAAGGGAGTTAGATTCCACATGGTTGGAAACCCAGCTGTTGGTGACTCAAAATACACTAGGCATGTATGCATGCATACCTCAAATCCTGGCAGGATGGAGAAATGGAGAAGGGATTGAAGTGTGATTGTACCCCACTGGGGAGTGCGTTCTGCCACTCCCCCCATCTCTCTCTCTCTCTCTCTCTCTCTCTCGTGAATATGCACGCTGCCCTTTAATAAACTACCTACCTAAACGACCCTTGATATGAAAATGGTTAAGTAAGCCATGCCAGTGTTTGCAGCCCTCATGAATAACGAAAATCACCTGGGATGTTGGTTGAACTAATTTCTCCAGTCTTCTTCAGTCCTGTGACCCCGGGCTCTCTTGGAGGTAAGAGGTGAATATTGCTTGGTGGTTCATAACATTAGCAGAGTTTCAGAAAGTTATTTCAAATGTTTTCAAAACTATTTCAACAAACAAACGCTAATTAGGAATTGAAAAGAATGAGAGCAGACCTGCAGGAAGCAACTGAGAATGAGCTCCAAGATATTCTGAGTGATCAGCGGAGACTGCGAAACGAACACACTGTTCCACGCTGTTATGTAACCACAGACCCACACACAGGCCCGTGTATTTCAAGAGATAAACAGGGTGGGACGGAGATTTCAAAGTGAACTGTTACACCCATAATGCCTGATCTCTTTTCAACCGAAATGTATTCATGTATTAATTATCTAATTAAAAACAGATATTTACTTATTGTCGGTGTGTTGAGGAGACAGACCAAGGTAGTTTAGGCAAAACAGATGATTTGTCCCAGACCCCTTTCGCCCTGAGGCATGTCCTGGTTAAATTTTATCTATGCAATACTTATTTTTTTAATTATTTTATTTAACTTTATTTATTTATTTTAATTTGACCTGAGAGGGACAGAGAGAGAGAGAGAGAGGGAATAAGTGAGAAAGAAAACCGTCAGGTCCAGGACTTGAACCGTAGTCGGCCATGTAGGAGTCCAGCGCCCTCAACCACCAAACCACCCACCAGCCCCTCTTTATTGTTATTTAACCAGAGAGGAACAGAGTGAGAGAGAGATAAAGAGAGAGAGAAAGCAAGTCCTGCCTGGTCTGGGACTCGAACCACATTCAGCCACGTGGGAGCCCAGCACCCTTAACCACCACGCCACCTGCCAGTCCCAATGCAATTCTTATTCAGAAATATTTGGTGGTTTCTCCACACACAATGAAGCAGGTTTACTGCTTTGGAGAGGTGGGGTGGGAGAGGTGGTAAAGATGGGGACCGGGGCTAAGAAATCCCACTCCACTTCCAAGAGCTAATTCAAACAGTCCCTCAGAGGCCCAGTTCCCGCAACGTGACCTCGAGTCTCCCTCTTCCCCACCCGGGCCACTTCCTCATCTACCACATATCTGTGTGCAGGTCTCACCCCTCTTCCCATACCATCTCCCCTCCAGCCCACTCTGTCTCTCCGAAGCCTGGCAGTGCCCTGCACACTCGGCTCTCAGTGCTAAGTGATTGCTCCCGAGGTCCGAGAACGGTCTTCCACGCTCCGCTGAGATCCTGGCTCAGTGGAAGTCACTCAGTCCTCCCCCCTCGCAGCCTCACCCCATCTCCCCCCTCACTGCTGTCTCAAACCCCCACAGGGAGAGACATATTAAAACCGAGGCTGGGAGTCCAACCCCTGAGAGAAATGGAAAGTGAAAGGATGCGTCCACCTTCCCAGACGCAGGCTGGACAGGCCGGGAGGACAGCGAGCACCCAGTCCTACCAGGGCGAGGTGAGGGGCAGGGCTGGGCCCCAGGAGCTCTGCCGCCTTCTGGGAAAGGGAAACGGGTGCGGGGAAGAAAAAAGGCACGGAGAAGAGGCTTCTGTCGGTAAGCCTGCCCCAGCCACACACGGCCTCTGGCCTGCCTATTCCCCCGGCCTGCCTAGTAAGAACTACCTGTCACGACGCAGCTTATTTCAAGCCCTGCTACGTGAGGGCAGTCTGCCCACAGAGATGGGGAACACGTTTCAGGGTCACCTCTCGGTGACATCATGAGTGACTTACTCAGAGACGAAGCTGAGGACACACTCCAGGAAGCCATGCCGTGCCTCCAGGAGCTGCCAGACCAGCCGCCACAAAGGAAGAGAAAAACCATCATTCTTTTTTTTTCCAGAGAGAGATTTTTACTATAGAGTGTGTGCACTTGCCGGAGAGACAGAGAGACAGAGAGCGAGAAATCACCCCCCCCCCAAGGGGGGGGAGAGATGGCCACGCCGCAATCCCTTCTCCTCCATTCTCCTCTCGGGATCTTGGGCACGCATGCACATGTGCCTGGCGTGAGTTTTAAGCACCAGGTCCAGGACGCGAACCACGGTCGACGCTACATGGGAGCCGAGCCAAAAAGCCATTATGCCAGCTGCTGGTCCCTTAAGTGCCTTTTCTAAACAGAATCATCAGAAAAAAAAGATTTCCTTAGAAGGATGTAGGATCAGTCTTGCTCCTAGAAATTTTTTTCTTGGACTGAAAAACAATGGCAGGGATGATCATTTAACTTGATTTCTTTGTTTATTTAAGTTTGACCAGAGAGGGACAGAATGAGAGAGAGAGGGACAGTGAGAAAGCAAGCTTCCGGGTCTGGCACTTGGACCATAGTTGGCAATGTGGAAATCCAGCACCCTTAATGACCACGCCACCTGCCAGCCCCAAGATAAGATTTTTTAAA